ATCTGCTGTAACAAAGAATAAACCTTTGTCCGTATTCCAAAAACTCACCGGGCTCCACAAATTGATTAATTATTCATCATCAAGAGATTTTTTTTCCTACAACATTACTAAAGTACATCACAACAAACCAGAATTAGAAATGTAAAACCAAAATGCTCAACTCCAGCTCGTCCCACCCCAAACAAAACAAGTTAAATCATATATTTACAGTAAACCAAAGTGCCAAAGCTGTGTGCACTACAAATATACAAAAGTGCTGGACAAGTCTTTCATGTATTCAGTTTAAGGAGCATTGTGTAACTTGTCTGCTGGAGGATCTGTCACCTGCTTGTCTACGTGGAGATGTACCTAGAACAGGGTTGGGCACAAAAGGTTCTAAAATTTGACGGAAGGGTCGAACCAGGAGCAGATGGATGGAGTGGAGAGAAAAAAAATAAATAAATAAATAACATGGATATGTATAAAACCTGTGCTTGAATTTCAATGCACAATCATTACAAAGCATCACAACAAAATATCTGTCTTTCAAGTCCCATGGTGTTTACTATTTATTGAAATTACTCTTCAAACACTGAAAATTTAATTAATAAAACATAGTTACTATTTTAAAGCACTGAAAGTTCTGTTCTCCTTCAGGTTATTATCAACATCACTCTCCTCTTGACTGTCTTTATTTCAAAAACTGTAGGAGATGCAGATCTACTTGTCCTGCTCCTTCTATACGCGCATTAAGAATTTCGGACTTCCGGTCATCGCGCAATCCATACTGGGAAGGATCCTCCGAAAAAGTGAGCATCACACCGCCATGTTTGTTTTTCCCAGTGGGATGTGTCTATTGTCAAAGTCGATCTTTTCAAGTCTTTTGAACCATATCACTTTTGTTTCTGGTTCTGATATTGTCATATTTTAGTTTTGGGATTCGGACATCATAATTGTGTGGTTGTTGGATCGTAACAGCGGAAAACAGGCTTTGCAAGTTTGCAAACTCCATAAGTGCAAAAGTGAATCAGATGTGTGTGACTCAAACTTCTGTTCAAACTGTTTCTCTTCCCAACAGAATTGAAAAATAGTGAAAGGTGAAGGTGATGGGCAGGATTGATCCACAGGAAGAACCAAAAAGGAAACATTTGTCTGCCTAAGAAATCATCCTGAGTTTACAGAGAACATTTTGTATGTGGAGCGACGACAAAGCAAAATCCCGTTTGTTAATGTAGAGGAGCAGAAGACAAACAGACTGAGCTGCACTTTCTTGTTCTTGTGGTTTTACAGCAACATCACGTCTTGGTCTCTTTGCAGTGGAAGGTGTTTCTTGGTGAACAGTTGGTGCCTTTCACTTTGGAGTTGACTTTTTAAATTCGTAACCAAGGTTGAGCAAAGGATCGGAATTTTGTTTTATTGTCGCTCCACATACAACAGGGATGTGATTGGCCAAGGACAAAAAAGCAGGAAAATATATAGAGCCACAGTGTGGCGGCGCGACAATGAAGCGTGTGGCAACAGTGCAGCCATTACACACGCAGTTTGAATTCTGTTTCGTAAACATGTCTCTTAACAGGTGCCATTTTGGGTCCTTATCGGTCCTTATGTATTACTCCTCACAGGGTAATACATACTGGCTCCTGACTACGGTAACGATAATGCTGCGACAATCCATGAAGCGATGCTGCTTCGTCGTTTACCAAAGTCGTACTAAAACATTTTGACAGATTCTTGAGTGCCGTGTACCACATAAAAATCGATACATGTGGATTTGCGTGATTCACGAGAGTGGCATTTTTATGTCTGAAAATCCGGAATTCCGGAAAAATCCGGAAGAATCACATGTATGATACAAAATGTTCTCTGCAAACACTGGATGATTTCTTAGGCAGACAAAGTTTTCCTTTTTGGTTCTTCCTGTGGATCAATCCTGCCCATCACCTTCACCTTTCACTATTTTTCAATTCTGTTGGGAAGAGAAACAGTTTGAACGGAGGTTTGAGTCACACACATCTGATTCACTTTTGCATTTATGGAGTTCGCAAACCAATTTCTCGAGCCGTTTTCCGCTGTTAGGATCCAACAACCACAATATTAAGGATGTCTGAATCCCAAAACTAAAATATGACAATATCAGAACCAGAAACAAAAGTGATATGGTTCAAAAGACTTGAAAAGATCGACTTTGTCAATAGACACATCCCACTGGGAAAACAAACATGGAGGTTTGATGCTCACTTTTTCGGAGGATCGTTCCCAGTGTGGATTGTGAGATGACTGGTCTGAAATTCGTGATGCTTGTATTCAATGTGTGTCCCCAGTACCAAAACTCAACCCGACCCAATGCAAGGACAGAATAGTGCCAGCGTGTTATATTTGACCTGGTGCACATTGTTTATAATGAGAACGTACGTGCACGTGCACACCACTCACGTGCACACCTTAACAGAAATGACATGTAACACGACAATACATTTTTTACATAACAGCAGAGAAACTTACTTTAGTTTTCAGTGGGAACAGTGTTGTTGTGTCTCTTTTTATCCAGCGCGTCAAAGTCTGAAGTTAGTTTTGTTGTTGCAATTCTCAGGATCCGTTCGTGTGGTGTCGGAATGATTGGAAAAATGACTTTCCTACTGGGAAAATTCACATGAACGCCTCCTCGTGCTGGAAAAACAACTCGGCAAATTGGATCTTTTCAACACCACATGAATGTCAATGTATCTACAGTGCGCCATCTATTGGGAAACACCGGAATTGCGAAAAAAATAAAACACTAACAAGGTTTATTATTATAATTTATTCAAGTTTGGCGGGCTGGATTAAAAGGTTTAAAGGGCTGCATATGTCCCCCGGGCCGTAGTTTGCCCACCCCTGGTCTACAGACATCACTCCTGCTCTGATTCTGTTCGTTTCACAAACTTTACATCACACATTTTCCTGCAGTAAGTCCAGCTCTGACTCTGTCACAGGTCGACCTGTGCGTCACTAGAGCCCCACAGTAGAAAACAGGAGGGAGGGTGAAGCCTGTTTGTGCTGCAGCTCGGCTAAACAAACAGGAAGCGTGTTTGTATTCGATACCTTACACCTGAACAAAGAGGCCAACTTTATTTATACAACGACATGTTAAAAAGTGAATTAAGAGAAAACAGCCTATATTATCAATAACTCTCTGTTTCATATACACACACGGGCCCTCATTTACAAAACTGCCATACAGCAAAATCAGTGCAGCGAAATCGGAGCGTGTATTTAATGCACAACAAAAACAAGGCGCTCCGTGAGAAACTGATGTGAGCGCAGTGTGGACAAATCGTACAGCAGATGTGAGCTGGTGTATCACATACACACATTTAAAACGGCAAAATGCACAGGAAAACAACATTTAACTGCATGTAACAGTTTTATTTATACTATTTATCATGCAGTTAGCCCGGACTCAGATGCAACTCAAAATTAAAGTGACACATAAACGTCTTAGATCAGGTCAACAGAAAGTGTCCTACAGGCAACACTTAAAATGGCAAATCAAGCTGATAAACAATAAAGGAATATACTGTATATCTTTGTTATATGAATTGAAATATCCTCCACATGGGGAAATCTCTAATAAGAAACAAGCTGGGTATAAACACAAAACAGGCTGGAACAGGGAATAATTCAGATACAAAGCCTGAGTGTCTCCTGACTGGTTGATAGTCGAGCAAAGGGCCTGTTTACCCGAGAACGCTTGCAGGAAAACAAAATTTTTGGAAGTGCCTTTCATTTAGACGGTGACAGCGTTTTGGGGCTTAAAAATGCAAAAATCTGAAACCACCCTCCAGAGTGTAAATGCTGAATACACTCTGCCATAGTGTTTCTGTCTACACTGCCCAAGACGCAAAACTGTGGTCAGGGTATGTGGGCAGGTAGTGATTACACACAGGTAGGTCAGGACTAAATCAGGACTAAACCAGGACTACACCAGGACTAATCTTGGACTTAAGAGAGAGAGAGAACCCCAAGTTTGGAGAGCAGGGTGTCCATGAAGTGCAATCACCTGTGGTTACCCGACGCTCTACGCAGGCGCACCTCTGAGCCTGTCCCGACAGTGTTTCCTGGTTCAGTTCTGGTTTAGTCCTATTTTAGTCCTACTTCACTCCTGGTTTAGTTCTGCTGGTTCAGTCCTGGAATCAGTCCTAGGTTAGCCCTAGGTTAGTCCTGGTTTAGTCCTGGTTTAGTCTGTGGTGTGTGCGGCGCAAAAATCCGGCATCAGTGTTTCTTCTTCTCAGTAAATAATCCAGTCGAGTCACGTCTGTGAATTCATGTTCTTACTGAAGAAAGTGTAAACCGTTTAATTTCATTTCGTGATTGTAATTCTTGAAGTCGTAACTTTTCAATTCGTATTCTGATGGATGCTTCAGTTAGAATGTTTTTAATCTGTGTGTGATTTATCGTGGGCACCGGCGGGTAACGGGTGGAATGTTAACGGGTCTTGGAGGGTGCGGGTTTAATTTGATAAAATCACGGGTAAATGGCCGGGTGCGGTGCTGGACTGCGCGGGTGCGGGTCTCCAAAAATGGACCCAATGCATATCCAATCAAACTCTACACACTTTTGCGTCACCATATGCACCGAAAACACTCGTCTAAAAGCAGAATAAAAAGTGAAGACGCGACGCCACTTTTGCGTCTTCTGTTCAGACCCTCATCATATAAACGTAGACTGAATGAGCAGGAGGAGCGTACAGACGACCCTGGGATATGGAGGGAATGAGCAGCAGCTGCAGGAAAAACGGGGAGGAAGCAAAAGCAGGACCGGAAATGTCTGGGAAATGGAGCTGGACCGGGGATAAACATGTAAACAATTGGCAGAACTGTGACACTATAGTATTTCTACCACTACTACCAGTACTACCGTCTTGTGTACAGTACACCAACTGTGTAGGGGTGAAGTTGTTTTCACTTTGAACAATCGTCATCAGTGTTAATTATTTCAGTCAGATTAGGAAGCTATTTATCCATGTGCTGTGTTGACGTTCACACAGTCTGCATCTGGAGTCTGAGAAACCAACAGGGCACCGGGAATTGAACCAGCGCCCTACTACAGGTACGGCACTACTACAGGGTGTATAGACAATATAGATTTATTTACAGGCTTTATCAGTGGTTTTAAGAGCATTTGACAGATTTATATATTTTTCTCATTTTGACTTGTTTTGCTGGGACAGAACCTGCGGTCAATATTTATCAGGTTTTACATCAGTTAACTACAGAAGCCCATTTCTGCCAGTAAATAAAAATAAAAGCCTCACAGAAAGTCATAATTATGAATTTAAAACTCATCATTCTGACTTTCTGTGAGACTTTTATTTTATTTTTTATTTACTGGCAGAAATGGGCTTCTGTAGTTAAGTGAGAATATGTGAAGAAAAGTAGAAAATGAAAAAGATGGAAAATAAATGGAAGTAGCGCAGAGTTTTAAAAACAAATTTCCTCGACCTGTGTCATCATCAACTCCATCCAAAACGCAAAGGCAATTCACACGCAAAGAAGGCATTCCTCTGACAATTTGAACCTTTATTTTACAAAATAAAGGTGTTGTGATTTATTTCTATTTGTCAAATTAAAACTATTGCGTAATTTAGACAAGTTTTGCCTCCTTATTAACATCATGGTTGCTGTATAACCTTTACTTATGTCATATGTTCATGAAATCCCTCAGTCGTCCAGGTAGGAGCCACAGCAAAAGGAGAAATTCAGTTCTGTCACTGGACAAAAGTTTTTTTGATAGAACATGTTTCGCAGCTCATCCAAGCTGCTTCTTCAGTTCTGTTCAGACGCTGGTGGACACTGCCAGAACTTGGAGCTTGGATGAGCTGCGAAACATATTCTATCAAAAAACTTGGTAACACTTTATAATAACTACACATAATTTAGCCTTAATAAAGCATGAACAAAGACTTAATTAATAATGATTCATGCTGAGTAGCTACTTAATTACTACCTGAATTAGCACTTAAACTTGGGCTTAATTCGGCTGTGCTGTAAATAGTTACTCATAAGTATTTCTTACTTAATTACTCATCAACTATCCATTTGCATATTTACAAATGCATATTTAAGTACAAATTTGAGCATTTATTAATGATTAGTAAGCTATGAGAGAATGATTTACTAATAATGCAATGATAATTCAGGCAGGTGTTATCTGTTAGTTAAGTCTTTCTGAGAGCTTTTCTAAAGTGAAGATGAATTATGCTTTATTAAGGTTGTTAAGTTTGGTCAAATTCCAGAGAAACAATAATGCATTACTAGTAAATCATTCTCTCATGGCTTACTAATCATTAATAAATGCTCAAATTTGTACTTAAATATACATTTACAAATGCACACACAAATGGTTAGTTCATGAGTAATTAAGTAAGAAATACTTATGAGTAACTTTTTATAGCACAGGCGAATTAAGTACAAGTTAAGTGCTAATTCAGGTAGTAATTAAGTATTTACTGTGAATCATTAATTAAGTCTTTGTTCATGCTTTATTAAGGCTAAATAAGGTGTAGTTATTATAAAGTGTTACCAAAAATGCTTTTTCCAGTAAACCACCCGTTTTCTCTGACACTGGCCCAGTGTGAAGTGACTATAGTGACTGTAACATGTTACTGGACCTGCACTCATATGTCACGAGCTGTGAACAGAGGTGTGAATGGTTCACATTTACGCACATAATTAATTACTGCAGTGCACACGGATTTAGTTTAACTGCTAATGGCTAAGCGGTAGTTTGTTTACTTTGTTTACAGGCTAGAATGTGGTTCTGAATCTGTGTGTGAATCTGATTTATTTTATTTATTTTTAATGGTTTTATTGATTTATTGCTATTCTATGATTTTGCTCTTAGTTTATTTTACTGGTTTTATTATTTTAAGACTAGTATGATTATTTTAGTAGTTTATTTTATTATTGTTGTTATTATTATGGTTTTGTGCAGCACTTTGGGAATTGTTTGTTTGTGAAATGTGCTGTAGAAATAAAGTGGACTGGATTGGAATGTAATAAAAAAAAAATGCGATTAGGCTGAACCACTGTTTTAAAACTGACTTTAAAGAGGCAAAATAACTGTAAATGTAAACTAAAGAAACCCAAATGAAACTGTAAAACCGAAGTTTTATAATCAGTTGAAGATGTACTGCTCATTTTTACGTCACTAAATATAATGGTCTGTTTATATCGGCTGTGGGCAACTCCAAAGCCCCTTTCATATCTATACTGGTATCGTTTCGGATTTTTTAAAAAAATCCATATTAATTGGGACATGTATGGGAATATAAGAAGTTCTATTGCATATGGGTTTAAATCATAGCCTGCATATGTAAATGGACAAACAGTATCGTGTTCCAGATAGGACATGAGAATGGACGTACTCCTCTTTCTGTAACTACAACAGTGAGCCTCGTTTTTCTATTTATTTATTTAGTTTTCAGTGGCACCGTGTACTCTGCAATAAACATTACAATCATGTAAATGCAGCCAAATTAGATAGATTAGATTAGACAGTCTGGAATTTTGGACATAGGACCTCATTTCCTCGTGATCCAGAGTGTTGGAGACGTGTGGAGACACTTTTTTAAAATATTCCATCCAGTCCTTGTATTTGCAGAGGTCACTGGTGCTAGGCTAGTGTATGTCAATGGTCATAGTTCTCCTGCCACTAAAATCTGTCTTACCCACTCCAAAAAACACCTGAAGAAAATCTATTATTACACCACACTGTCCATGTAAATGTCTGTGTCAATAGAATAATTTTAGAAGTAAAACTAACATTGCGTTTGAAGGATTTATGTCTGAACAGCAGTGAGTTGTACTTCCTGATAGAAAGCTCGGCAGCGGCGGACTGATATATGAGAAAATAGTCCCTCAACATGCGACGATTCAAGCAATGCAAGTAGGGATGGGCATGATTAGTCGATTAATCGATAATTGATCATTAAGAATTTCATCGATTACGTTAATTTTAATTGACAAACCGAATGTAGGTTGTTGTGTGTATCGTGACCAAACAGGTGTGTACATGTGTCTCTGCATCAGAAGGAGCGAGACACAAACAGTGGGTCAGTCTGTAACGAACCGAAGCACAAATGTGGATTTAACGATGATTTGTACAAGAAATTCCACACTTTCCGTTGCGTTCGGGACAAGTGTGAGTCCATGTGCACAGTGTATAAAGCAGCACATATGTTTCTGTGTCCAGTGGGAAAAAGTTTTACCAGGTGAGAGTCGCTCAATGTGGATGACGAGGCCCCGCCCCCCTCCCCCCGTACGCTGTCCTGGTTTTGACAAACACAAATCTGGTCACACTAACCTGTATTCCACTGAGTCGTGTCTTTTAATCCGACAGAAGTTGAACCGCATCAGCGACACAAGAGCTGTTTTTTTATCTTCACTTAGTTTATGCAAATTAGTGATGTGGTTTTAAATTTTGTTTCTGTGAGATTTGAACAAAACTGAATTAAACACATTATAATGTCAAACGGGCTGATGTGGCTCTAGAGTCGTTACGGTTTATATGTCGTAAAGTTGAATTTATTTATGCAGATTAGTAGTGCAGATAGTAATAATAATGATGATCATTTTAATATAAAAACGTTAATGATTAATCGATAATCGATCGTTAATTCTTCCGACGATCGATTAAGAAAATTTCATCGAATGCCCGTCCCTAGATGCAAGGTTAGATTTATTTCAAACATTATTCTATCAGCACAGACATTCACATGGACAGTCTGGTGTAATAATAGATTTTCTTCGGGTGTTTTGTGGAGTGGGTAAGACTGTTTTTAGTGGCAGGATAAACTATGACCATTGACATGCACTAGTCTAACACCAGTGACCTCTGCAAATACAAGGACTGGATGGAAATATTTTTAAAAGTGTCAACACACGTCTCCAACACTCTGGATCACTAGGAAATGAGGTCCTATGTCCAAAATTCTGAACTGTCCCTTTAAAAGCAGACCCCCACAATCTGGACCCTTTAAAATTATATTCACAAAAAGTACAAATGAGTCTTTTGACAGCAAGATTAAAATAAACAAAACAGATTTATTTGCTCAGGAAGGAGGAGGAAGTGAGTTTGTGCACCTCTGACCTTTATGGTTTCTGTCACACACGCGTCACATGACTTCAGTTACTTTGCCACAACAGAGAAGTCTGGTCCAAGGAGAAGAGGCAGAGGAGCAGAGGAGGAAGAGGAGACAGAGAGGAAGATGGCGGAGTACGTGGTGGCCCGGGACATCTACTCTGAGGATAAATTTAATGAAGAATATGAGAGAATCGACAGACCCCACAAAACCATCCTCAACCATGTCAAGGAGTATTTCAGGTACGGCGTGTGTTTTGAAACTTTTATTTGTTTGGTCATTGACAAATATCAAGTGTTAGAATAAACTGAACAGAATAAATTGTATCTTAAAGAATATTTATTGTCAAATATAGGCCATTTCTTAAGCTTCACTTTAACCACTGATGGTTTCAAAAGCACCAAAAAGTTTGAAGAAATTACAGCATGAGTTAAAGAATGTTTTCTGTCTATTCTTTTTCAATCAAATTATGCAGAAATGTGCAGGCAAACAAGTTTATCTGTAGAGCACAATTTGTACATAAAGTAATTTAAAGTGCTTTACATAATAAAAAAGATGCAGTAAAATCTAAAATACATAAAACTTTTATGACACTGTACTTTTATGAGGTTTAAAAGGTCTTTCTGTTTGCGTTTTTTCAGTTGCCTTTGACTAAATAACAAAACTGACAAATGTGTTTAGTTTATTTTGTGTTCTTTTTTCTCCAGTTTAATGTTTTCTCCAAATGAGAAATTCTATATTTCAGAAATTCAAAATTGAGTGTAACTCAGGTTTATTTGTACAATTTGAACACAAAGTAATTTAAAGTTCTTTATAGAACAAGAAAAACGTAATGAAATCATTATAAAAGTTGAGATGAAAGTCACCTGCTGCTATTTTCATTTTACGACATTGTTCAAAATTCATTCAAAAACAACAGAACTGACTTATGACTTCACACTGTGGACACATAATCTGTTATCACGTTTGATAAGTCTGAACTGTCTGTAAACTTGACATGACAGCAAAGCAGAAGAAGAGTTAAAAACAATTCATTTTATGTGGTGTGATTACAGAGTCAAGATTTTACAGTCTTGTTAATCAGATTTCATTGTAAAACATGGTTGTGTTACCTGAGCAGGTGTGACAGCACAACAGGTGCAACAGGAGGCGTGTCCATACCTGTACAGGTGATAAAGTGGGCGTGTCTTTACCTGTACAGGTGTTAAAGTGGGCGTGTCTTTACCTGTACAGGTGTTAAAGTGGGCGTGTCTTTACCTGTGCAGTGTTAAAATGGGCGTGTCTTTACCTGTGCAGGTGTTAAAAGTGGGCGTGTCTTTACCTGTATAGGTGTTAAAGTGGGCGTGTCTTTACCTGTGCAGATGTTAAAATGGGCGTGTCTTTACCTGTGCAGGTGTTAAAGTGGGCGTGTCTTTACCTGTGCAGGTGTTAAAATGGGCGTGTCTTTACCTGTACAGGTGTTAAAGTGGGCGTGTCTTTACCTGTGCAGATGTTAAAATGGGCGTGTCTTCACCTGTGCAGATGTTAAAGTGGGCGTGTCTTTACCTGTGCAGATGTTAAAGTGGGCAGTGTCTTTACCTGTGCAGATGTTAAAGTGGGCATGTCTTTACCTGTGCAGATGTTAAAGTGGGCGTGTCTTTACCTGTATGGGGACAGGGTGACAGGAGGCGTGGTGTGAGGAGGTGTCACAGTATTTTTGCAGGTTTGATAGAGGGCGTGTCTTCAGCTGAGCAGGTGTGTTTACAGTGTGTTTTTTTTTTTTACGTGTGCAGCTGCAGCCGTAAGCGCGTCTGCTCGGCTCTTCTCTCTCTGTTCCCGATCGTTGGGTGGGTGAAGATCTACAGCGTGAAGGAATGGCTGCTCAGTGACATCGTGTCTGGAGTCAGCACCGGCCTCGTCGCTGTTCTACAAGGTACCAGTACGACAAACTACTGCACTGTACTACAAACTACTACACTGTACTACAAACCACTACACTGTACTACAAACTACTGCTTTACTTTCATGAGTACTGCATCACTTTGAGTAACTTATCACAGATTCTGTCTTTACAACACCTAACACCATGTCCTTAATGAAAACAGCACCACGTAAAATTCCTGGTGAGGAGCAAAAATGTTTCCATGTAAACAAAAGGTTAAAACTAAACATGTAACATTCTCTATGAAGACTGATCAGTTTTATGGAAAGTTAGTAACATCTCCAGCCTCTCCAGACTTTCAGTAGAAAAGTTACATACAGCACCTTTAAACCAGAGAGACACGATGTCACATAAAAAATTTGGTAAATTGAAAAAGCACACGCGGAAAGACTGGGATCTCATGTTATTGATGTTCAAACCTACAAACACTTTAAGACAAAAACTGGTCGACCTAAAGGGCAAAACACCGAGGTCTACTACATTCAGTGTAGTGAAGACTTCAGTGAAAGCAACACAGACGAGAGAGCAAAACAGGACCACAGTCTGCTGTACATCTCCACCTAAAAGCCACTAACCGCTCCTTTGAGGACAGCGAGGTACAGATCTGAGCCAGAGAAAAAAAATTGTTGGAGAGGGGAGTTAAAGAAGCAATTTTTGTTAAAGTTGTATAGAGGATTTTTTTAAGGGAAGTGAAATACAGCGACAGTCCTTTTTCAAATGTTGTGCATGCGTGACACCACCTACCTCCTCCACAGCTCCTCCTCCCGCCTCTTTACTCTAGAAATCACGTGTGTTTACAGTCAAAATTACCGTTGAACTTTCCTGTCTAGAAGTAATTTAGCGACCGACGCGTCCGTTTTTAAACCCTTCTGCTTCAGTTGCGCTGTCGCTGGAAGGAATCTCCAAGAATCACCTCAGTTTGTCTTCGTTCCTTTTCCCCTTCTTCTTTTCTTCTTCTTTCAGCGACCTCAAAAACGGACTTTCTTTTGCGGCGAACTGGTTGTGGATTCTCATCTGCCGTCGCAACAAAATTTATGCGAGGAAGCGACAGTTTGAACAACCCTCTAAGAACCGCCGCATAAAGCACGTAATCCCCGCGCGCCGACGAGTCAGTTACACTAGAAACGTAAGGAGTTTGATTGACGACCTAACAGCCAATAGATAAAGAGGGAGCCTCGTTTTCTATTGGCTGATGTTTATCTGGCCTCACTGCGTCCACAGTTGATAGATTTTCATTCTTTTTTTTTTTTTTGGTCATCGAAATTACATGGTTGCTGCGTCTCTGTAATGGTATTTTAAACTTTCACTGACAATTTGAAACAACAAAAAAAATCCTCCATACAACCTTTAAGAAAGAGTATCCTTCTCTAAACAGAAATGGATACCTCAGACACTTCTATCTCCTATTTACAACTCCATCCCAAGACCTACTGTGTTACAACATAATTTTGCATTTTATCAATATTCATTTTAGCTGTATTAATCAGTATTGGTGTATAGAATTCTGTGATGTCCCCTGAAACCCAGCTATAGGAGAAGTTTCTTAAAATTGTTATGAATATGGAACAAAGTTAAGGCCCAGGGTTGCCAGATTTTCAGAAAGCCACAAGCAACCAAGCCTTCGTGGGGCTCAGGTCACTTGTTTTGGGCTGTTTTTCTAACATTTCTGGAACAATTTAAAACTTTCAAGAAATTGCGACAAGTAGTAATAGTACAGGAGTAGGTGGAAATTATTTTTTTTAGAACAGTCAAGCCTCAAATGTAGGACAGAATAGGATTACACAAACATGCATGAAGCAATCCAAATACAGCACGACTAAGCTTTGGGTACTGATGAATTGTTAAAAGCTGCTAAAAGTCATGCTAGTATGTTATAATGTTGTTGTTTCTTCACCACAAATATACCCAGTGGAGATGTAGACAGACTAATAATAAAGAGTTACTCAAACACGTGTGAATGAAACAAAACACAACTCCAGGTCTGTTTTTGACGAAGGATCACCATTCCCGCATGACTTAAAGTTCACAAGAGTCCATTTTGTGTAATATAGGAGCTTTAAAATGAGCGTGTTTGGTTTGACCGTGTGTTCTGATTGGTTGGCAGCTCTGGCGTACGCTCTGCTGGCCTCTCTTCCTCCTCGCTACGGACTTTTCGCCACCTTCTTCCCCCTCATCATTTACTTCTTCCTGGGAACCTCTCGGCACGTCTCCGTTGGTATGAAGTTTAGAACGTTAACAAACCAGGACTAAACCAGGACTAAACCAGGACTAAACCAGGACTAAACCAGAAGGAATAAAGCAGAACTAAACCAGGTCTAAACTGAGTTAAGCCAGGTCTAACTCAGGCCTAAACCAGGCCTAAACCAGGAGTAAACCAGGACTAAACCAGGCCTAAACCAGGACTAAACCAGGACTAAACCAGAAGGAATAAAGCAGAATTAAACTAGGTCTAAACTGGGTTAAGCCAGGTCTAACTCAGGCCTAAACCAAGCCTAAACCAGGTCTAAACCAGGCCTAAACCAAGACTAAACCAAGAATAAACTAGGATGGAAGCAAGAGTAAAACAGGACTGACTGAGGACTAAACCAATACTAAACCCAGATTAAATCAGGACTAAACCAGAACTAGCCTCAGTGGTTAGTGCAGTACACCAGGTCTAAACCAGGACTAAAATTGGAAAAAGCAAGACTGAACTAAGACTAAACCAGGACTAAGCCAGCACTAAAACAGACTGTTGTGTTCCAGGTCCATTCCCGGTCTTGAGTCTGATGGTCGGGGCTGTGGTGAACAGGTTAGTCCCAGACAACGGTCCTCCCATGAACATCACCGCGTTTGAGGGTCTGACCCGGGAACAGCAGAGGGTCCTGGTGGCCTCCTCCGTCACCTTCCTCTCAGGGATCATGCAGGTAACACACCAGCTCTGATAAGATCCTGGTTCAGTCCCGGTTCAGTCCCGGTTCAGTCCGGTTCAGTCCCGGTTCGGTCCTGGTTCAGACCTGGTTCAGACCAGTCTTCTCTCTGTTTTCCCAGTTGGCGATGGGAGTTTTCCAGGTGGGCTTCGTGGTCATGTATCTGTCTGAACCTCTGGTCTCTGGCTTCACGACGGCGGCGGCGCTTCACATCCTGGTCTCTCAGCTGAAGTTCGTGTTGGGGTTACCGGTCCCAGGCCTCAACGGACCTCTGTCTATCTTCAAAGTGAGATAACTGTTGTTTTGTCATGGTTTGTGTCCTGATGTGTCATGTAGACCAGGACACTGGGCCTGTGTAGGTTTGTCTGATAAGGAAGTGAAACTACAGCTCGATCAGGGGAGTCAAACTCAAATTCACAGAGGCCAAAATTAAAAACTGGGACTAAGTCATGGGCCAAACTAAATATTTATTGAAATATTTCAACAACATCTGTATGTTTTCTCTTCTTTTGATATATGTAATGTTAAACCTTTTCTTATTAAAATAACTGTTTAATAATAGTTTTGCTTAAACATTTAATCCAGAACAAGCAAAATATAAAATAATACAACTTTTTAAATAAATAATGTGTCTATAGTTTATCTGTAGCCGGCGGACAGCTCTAATACAGATTTGATATGATCTCTCGGACCAAATTTGGCCCCCGGGCCTGATCTCTATATTGTATTCAATTACTCTTTTTTTCTTTTTGAGAATGTTTTAAATAGATATAGATATATTAAGTTAAAAAAAAAAACATTTTAAATTAAATATATACTAAAATATATTGAATAAGTTTGGAAAAGTTAGATTTAAAATTTTCAAAGTATTTAAAAGTTGCAGAGTGTAGTCAGTTTGAGACCTGTCACAAGACACTTTACATTTTTGCCGAGATTATTTCAGGCACTCTTTGTTTTTACGCATTAAGATAAATTTCTGTTTTTCTCGCAGACTCTGGAGATCATATTCCAAAAACTGGGCTCGACAAACGCGTGTGACGTGGTCATCTCTGCGATCATCATGGGCGTGGTGTACGTCGTGAAAGAGCTGAACGAACGCTACAAAGCCAAACTGCCCGTGGCCATCCCCATAGAAGTCATCATGGTCAGTCCTTGGTTAGACCTAGTTTAGTCCTGGTTTAGTCATGGATTAGTCCATCTTAAATCCTGCTTTAGTAATGGTTCAATCCTGGTTTAATCCTGTTTTAAATCCTGTTTTTCCTAGTAAATCCTGGTTTAATCCTGTTTTGGTCCTAGTAAAGTACTGTTGTAGCCCTGCTTTAGTCCAGGTTTAGTCTTGGTTAGTCACAGTTTAGTCCTGTCTTAGTCCCAGTTTAGTCCTGATTTAGACCTGGTCTTGAGTTAGTCCTGGTTTAGTCCAGGTTTAGTCTGTTTTTTTCCAAGTTTAGTCTTGGTTTAGTTTTGTCTTAGTCCCAGTTTAGTTCTGGTTCAGACTCGGTTTGAGTCTTGGGTTAGTTCTGTTTTAGTCCTGGTTTAGACTGGGTTTAGTCCTGGTTTAATCCTGGTTTATCCTGTTTAGACCTGGTTTAGTCCTGGTTTAGACAGTGGTTTAGTCCTGGTTTAGTCCTGGTTTTCAGTCCTGGTTTAGTAGTCCTGAGTTTTTAGTCCTGGTTTAGAAAGTCGTGTTTAGTCCTGGTTTACAGTCCACAGAGCAGGTGGTTTAGTCAGCTGGTTTAGCAGTCCTGGTTTAGTCCTGTTTAGTCCTGACCTGGTTTTAGTCCTGTTTAGTTCCTGGTTTAGACCTGGTTTAGTCCTGGTTTTAGTACCTGGTTTAGACCTGGTTTAGACCTGGTTTAGTCCTGGTTTAGACAGAGCAGGTTTAGTCCTGGTTTAGACCTGGTTTAGACCTGGTTTAGACCTGGTTTAGACCTCCTGGTTTAGACCTGGTTTAGTCCTGGTTTAGTCCTGTGTTTAGTCCTGGTTTAGTCCTGGTTTAGCCCAAATGTGAAAACAGGAAAATACCTCTGTGTAATCCATTTATTTCAACAAAGTAACTGTAATCCAATTACCACTCACTGAAACAGTAACTGTAACTGAATACAGTTACTCACAATTTGTACTCTGATTACTCCGGTACATGTAATCTGTTACTCCCCAACACTGTATGTACCAAAATAACTAAAATACAAATAAATGTCAAAAATTACAAAGGTGGTCTTGATTTGGTCTCGATGGTCTTGGTCTTGTCTCGGTCTCTGGTCTGTTAAGTTTCAGAGTAGTTTCAGTGTAGTTAGCTCCTCCCTTCTGCCAGATATAAGGCAGTGTCCACCAGCGTCTGACCACAACTGAAGAAGCAGCCCGGACGAGTTACGAAATGTATTAAAAAAATTCCAGTTGACAAAATTGTATTTCTCCTTTGCGATGGATCCTCCGTGGACAACTGAGGGATTTCACAAACTTAAGCAGCAGTTGTTTGTTTTTTCCTCAGACGGTGATCGCTTGTGGAGTTTCTTACGCGTGCGACTTGAAGACCACATACGGCATCGGGGTTGTGGGTGCGATGCCCAAGGGGTGAGTCTTGTTTCATGAAGGTAAATTACTACTAACATTTTCCCCGTCTCCTCTAAACTGTCCTGAAGCTTTGTCTATACGTGTCGTTGCTCTGCCTGGAATGTTCCACAGTGTGACATTTTATTCAGTTACAGGTGGTTTTATAGCTCAAAAATACAGAGAAAAACAGGGATTTTGACTGTGAGCGGGGTCGCCTCTCCACAGATCTGACCTGTAACTTTGTCTAGTTTGGTCTCCACGACGATAGAAAACTGCGAAACATCCCAGACAAAGCAAATACATGGAGAAAAGCATTTGACGGACCCTCCACCAGAAAAGTTACACAATGCAGCTTTAATGTAATTGTTGTTTCTTCCATGTTATTAAAGGGACAGTACAGAATTTTGGACATTGGGACATTAAGACCTCATTTCCTAGTGAGTGTTGGAGACGTGCGGAGACACTTTTTAAAATATTCCACTCCGCAAAACACCCGAAGAAAATCTATTATTAATGTCTGTGTTGATAGAATAATGTTTGAAATAAAACTAACCTTGCATCGTATGAATTGTGGCATGTTGAGGGACTATTTTCTCATATATCAGTCCGCCACTGCCAAACTTTCTATCAGGAAGTACAACTCACTGCTGCTGCTCAGACATAAATCCTTCAAATGCAAGGTTAGTTTTAATTTTCTTTTAGATTTTAGATCATTTTTGTAGTTTATGAACAAAATGTAAAGTAATAATTTACCTTACTGAGATAGACTTTTTTCACCACGGCCAGAAGTGGCACAGTGTAGGGTAAATGACACTTACTTTAAAGCTTTTCTGTGGCAAAATATTTGTGTAAATGTCTGGTGTATTTTTCCAGCAGCTTCATAAATCTGCCCCATCACCAAATCTTCAACCAACAAGATCCACAAAGGATAAACATTATAACATGAAGAATTTATCCACAACTATCAAGAGAAGAAAGACCAAAACTTAAAGGAAACAACGACGACGCTTTAGTGACACTGAACAAAACTAATGTTATGGTCACGAATAAAACAGAAGCAACTTGTTCGGTCAGACTGATTCTTAAGAGTTAAAATTAAAAGTCTATTTAATGATGTAGATATTTACATAGAGAGATTTGTGCAGTTTAAATGTGAGACATGTAAACATCTGTGAACATCTGTAGCATTTAAACTGGACAAATCTCTCTGTCTATGAGTCAGTCCGTATGAAATCAGCTGTTTTCAAGGAATCTCCCCGAAGAGCCATCGCAGATTTGTCTGAAAAAAATTCTAAAAATTTCTAATATCACCAAATGAAAGAATATTAAATTTCAGGTCGGCCATCTCAGGGGCTCACTTTTTTAGAAGCTTTAATTTATAATCATGTTTGAGAGACCAGAACTTCATCAAAAATAGAGCTAGGAAGATGAAAATTTTTATTATTGTAGATTCTGAATCTGTTGACAAATATTGAGTATCTTTATTAAAGGGGACGCTGTGGGCTCCCAAAATCTCGCTCTTTTCATCTTCCTAACTCTATTTACTATGAAGTTATGGTCTCTGGTGTCAGAAAAAATGAGCATGGCCCCAAAATTTCAACGGGCCATAACTCAGGAACGACTCAAGGGATTGAACAAAAATTTGAGATTCTTTCATTTGGTGATTTTAGAAATTTTTTGAATTTTTTTCAGTCAAATCTACGATGGCTCATAGGGGAGGGCAGCTGATTTCATATGGACTGACCCCTATGCAAATATCAACATCATGAAATCAATTTTTTATTTTAATTATAGAATCAGTCTGAGTTCAGCAGTTACTCAGTAACGAATTACTTATTACTTCTGTTTTATTCATGACCGTAAGATTAGTTTTGTTCAGTGTGTCACTAATGCGTCTTTGTTTCCTTTAAGTTTTGGTCTTTCTTCTCTTGATAGTTGTGGATAAATTCTTCATGTTAGAATGTTTATTCTTTGTGGACCTTGTTGGTTGAAGATTTGGTGTTGGGGCAGATTTATGAAGCTGTTGGAAAATACACCAGACATTTACACAGATATTTTACCATAGAAAAGCTTTAACGTAAGTGACGTTTACCTACATCGCGGCACTTCAGGCCGTTGTGAAAAAGCTCTATTATCATCACAATATAATATTTTTAAAAGCATAATGTGTGTTTTTATTCTGTAGAAAAATGCTGTAAAGACCAGTGTGTAGTTTCAGTGTTATAGTTTGTCTCGTTTTCAGGTTTGAGGCTCCGGAAGCTCCAGACCCGCAGCTCTTCCAGGAGACGGCGGTGGAGGCGTTTCCTTTGGCGATCGTGGGATTCGCCGTGGCCTATTCTGTGGCCAAATATTACGCCGTGAAACACGACTACACCATAGACGGAAACCAGGTACGAAAACATACGAACATATAATAAGTTAACACTGCATCCCGCTAAAGAAACTACTGCACATCACACCAGGTTTGTGAAGTTATGGTTGTGTATTTATGGAGAATTGTCTTGTGAGAGCACGGGTGACGTACTGTAAGGATGGATGGAACAGGACCCGGGAGAGATCACTAGATTACTCAAGCAGGAGATGTTGCAGAGGCAGATTTTGTGATTGATTTGATGTGGGTTTCAAAGGAGAGGGTGGAGTCCAGGTTGCAGACTGTTGGGGAGGGGCAGATGACATCGAAAACCTCTTCAGGCCTGTTTTTAATGAGGAAACAGAAATAAAATGGAAACAAGCAGGTGACACTTTAAATCAGAAAGTGCATGTTTAAATCTTACACCACAGAAACACTTGAATAACATTTTTTTTTAGATTTCAAATCAAATTATTGAATGGGGAAAAAAAAAAAAAAAAGACAAAAATGGAGTTTACAAACTAGTGTTGTAGTCAAGATCATACAAATAGAGACCGAGACCTGCCCGAGGCCACAGGGTCACATTGATTCTCTGGCGGCTTTAAAACAGCTTTATTGAACTTATTTGCTGTCAAGATTAACAGCTTCATACAAAATAATACAACCTGAATGATGGTGGCGCCCACGGCAACAACCAGAATAAAGTGGATACGCAGGGAAGAAAAGGTGAGGAGCGACACGTGAGTGATTGTACACGGGCGAGGTCAGGATTAAATCAGGACTAAACCAGGCCTACACCAGAACTAATTTTGGACTTAAGAGAGAGAGAGAACCCCGAGCCCGTGGAGCAGGGTGTCTGCAAAGCGCAATTGGGCGACGGCTGCACTTGGCTCCGTGTGGGACGGAGCTCTGCGCCGGTCCTTTCGCCTGCGGTCACTTGACGGATTACACGGACGCACCTCCGGACCTGTCCCGACAGTGAGTCCTGGTTCAGTTCTGGTTTAGTCCTGTTTTAGTTTTCCTGGTTCAGTCCTGGAATCAGTCCTGAATCAACCAGTCCTGGGTTAGTCATGGTTCAGTCCTGGTTCAGTCCTGGTTCAGTCCTGGGTTAGTCCTGGTTCAGTCCTGGGTTAGTCATGGTTCAGTCCTGGTTCAGTCCGTGGCGTGTGCATCACAAAAGTGCGGCATCTCGATCAGTAAATAAAGCCTGTGAAGTGATGACAGTCGAGTCGCGTCTGTGAATTCGTGTTTGTACTGAAGAAAGTGAAACCGTTTAATTTCATTTTGTCATTGTAATTCTTGAAGTCGTAACATTTCAATTCGTATTCTGATGGATGCTTCAGTTAGAATGATTTTAATTTGTGTGTTTTTTATCACGGGTCCAGGGGGGTGCAGGTTTAACTTTGATATAATCATGAGTTAATGGGCAGGTGCGGTGCTGGACTGCGGGTCTCCAAAAATGGACCCGTGCGGGACTCTGGTTTGGTTTGAAAGGAGCCACTGTTTCAAGATGAGACGAGATAAAGACTCATAAAAAGTCTTGAGTACTGTGACATTACTACAAACAGAACTGACCTGAGCGATCCTTTTGAGTGCTGTGTGTGCGCTTGTGTTCCAGGAGCTGAACGCGTTCGGGGTCTGTAACATCATCGGAGCTTTGTTCAAATGTTTCGCGGGGAGCACGGTTCTGTCCAGGAGCGCCATCCAGGAGAGCACCGGAGGAAAGACGCAGGTCGCAGGTTTAGTGTCGGCCATTATCGTGTTGGTCTTCACTTTGGCCATAGGATTTTTACTGGAGCCTCTGCCAAAGGTAACAGGACCAGTTTGTTGTGCTTTGTTTATCTTTACTCTCTGCTTATTTTTACACGTATAGAGTCGTTCCTCTGGATAACGGCCAATGTAAAGACAAAAGTATACATAAAGAAAAAAAAAACTTAATTAGATTTTAATCTTAGAACGCTATTGAGACCTTTCATAATGTTTCATGAGAATTTTGTTTCACGTTAAAAAGATTTGATTGACATTTGAGGTTTATGTACCTGTTTGTTTTTGTGTTTTGTTTTGTTTGTTTTTATTATTGTGTAGTCTTGTGTTGAGTGTGGGGAGAGGGATGGTGTGTGGGAGTTTTTTTTGTTTGTTTTGTTTTATTTTGGTTTTGTTTGTGCAATTTCAAAATTGGGGAAAAAAACAAACAAAAAACTTAATATTTAATACGTAGTGCACATTTGGCAGCTCTACACCACTGTACAAGCTGCTTTTACTTTCTGAAACAAAACTGCAGCTTCACTCACCTGTGCACCAGCAGCAGAGGCTCTACTGCCCTCTGCTGGACGTTTTGGTTTGTAAAAATCTGGATATTTTTTGCCGTGCTCTGACATAAACATTCCCTCTGTGTCTTGTGTTCCAGTCTGTGTTGGGGTCCGTGGTGATCGTGAATCTTAAAGGGATGCTGATGCAGTTCAGAGACGTGCCGTATCTGTGGAGACGAGACAAACCAGACTGTGTAAGAAAATATACTTAACATACACTTAAACATAAAGGTTAACTGTATTTATACACTCAAAATACGTTTTTCAGTTTCACACATTATTCATTCACTCTTTCATAATACCTCAGATTCTCCATTGAAATTAATGGGATTTATGCTTAAGCAGAAGCGCCAAAGAAAACGTTTAGTGTGTTTAGTATCGAGCATTAAAAGAGGACAGGGCTGAATAAAGGTAATATGTGCTGATAATGAGCAGATTTGTTTTGATAATTTTGTATTTATTTATTAAAGCACACTACATTAAAAACAAAAAACTAATAAAATTTAATAAAATAGACTAATAATAATAATAAATATAGGTGCAAGCAGCAATGATCGGCCCTCGCTTACACTTGCAGGGGGATGCTAATGCTTGATATTCCTGCACTGCTGAACAATCACAATAGGCCCTGCACCAGGGGTGTCAAACTCATTTTGGTCCGGGGCTTGTATCCAACTTACTTTGATCCCAAAGGGGCAGGATCAGAAAACTCATGTCATATAAACCCCAAAAATAACAATAAGTTCAAATATTTGTGCAGAGAAACACAAATCTATTACAGAAATCTTTTTTAATTGAGGAACTCTTTCTTTTACAAAATATTATAATATTATGAACAACCTGAAACTTTAAGAAAAATGCAATTTCAACACAATGTCTTAACATGAACTTGTATGCAAACAGGAATAAATCAATTTTTCTTGGAAAATCCTGCCCTCGGCTCCACTTTTCTCATGTTGGACATTTTTCTGATGAGGGTGTCACGGTCAACAGTCAAAACGATCGTCCTTTAAGAGCGTTTGGAAAGAGACAAGTCTTCATTTGTGCTGCTCTGGTGGGAGGGGCCACGTACAGAGACGCTGGAGACGCTGCTGTGATAAACACCACAGAAAATTAACAAGATTTTAATAGAAAATATAATTAAAATATTTTAGCAGAAAATCAGCCGAGGGCCAGATTAAAGGTCTTGGAGGGCCGGATCTGGCCCCCGGGCCGTATGTTTGACACCCCTGCCCTACACCAACCATGGCACTCAGCCCTAATTGAAAAAAAACACAAGTGAGTGTGTGCATGTGTGTGTGTGGAAAATTAACAAGAAGGGAGATATAAAAAAAATTTTTTAAAAGTGGGAAAAAAAGTTTTCATAGTTTAAATGACTTGTTTGTTTGTTTGTTTGTTTGTTTGTTTGTTTGTTTGTGTTCAGGTGGTGTGGGTGGGGACCTGCGCGGCGTCCATCGTGCTCGGTCTGGATCTGGGTTTAGCGGTTGGTGTGGCGATAGAACTCATCGGTGTGGTTCTCCGTACGCAGTTGTCAGTCTCTTTTATTATATTATTATTGCATTAAATTCTATCTTTATAAACCTGTTTTTAACCTGTGCCTGTGTCCTCAGCCCTCGCTGCTCTGTGCTCGCCAACATTAAAGGCACCGACATCTACAAAGACAAGAAGGACTACCTCGATGTGAGTGTTGTGCTTTAAAAGTGCACTATGTCACTTTTTGGTTGGGTGTCCATCACTTTCTTGTTTCTATGGATTTCATTGCTCTACTTGGAATGTTCCACAGTGTGACATTAAACAGGTCTTCTACATTTATTTAATTACAGGTGGTTTTATAGCTCAAAAATATGTCTGTGAGCAGCGGCGCCTCTCCACAGACCGGACCTGTAACTTTTGGTTTGGCTCATGGTTTGGTCTCCATGAAAACAGAAAGGTTTAATGCCATACTGTGGAACATCCTAGACAAGCAATAACTTCTCCACAGACCCACAATTTGACACAAAATTACACACCTTTAAATGAGCCTGGTCTGGTCTGACTCTGGTCTGACTCTGGTCTGACTCTGGTCTGACTCTGGTCTGACTCTGGTCTGACCCTGGTCTGACTCTGGTCTGACTCTGGTCTGACTCTGGTCTGACCCTGGTCTGACCCTGGTCTGACTCTGACTCTGGTCTGACCCTGGTCTGACTCTGGTCTGACTCTGGTCTGACTCTGGGTTTGATCTGAGTCTGGTCTGGGTGTGGGTCTGATCTGGGTGTGGGTGTAATCTGGGTGTAGTCTGACTCTGGTCTAGGTCTGGTCTGGGTCTGGTCTAGGTCTGGGTCTGGTCTAGGTCTGACTCTGGTCTGACTCTGGTCTTGGTCTGACTCTGGTCTAGGTCTGACTCTGGTCTAGGTTTGGGCTTGGTATAGGTCTGAGCTTGGTCTAGGTCTGGTCTGACTCTGGTCTAGGTCTGGGTCTGGTCTGGGTCTAGCTCTGGTCTGAGTCTGGTCTGACTCTAGTCTAGGTCTGACTCTAGGTCTAGGTCTGACTCTGGTCTAGGTCTGACTCTGGTCTAGGTCTGACTCTGGTCTAGGTCTGACTCTGGTCTGGTCTGACTCTGGTCTGACTCTGGTCTAGGTCTGACTCTGGTCTAGGTCTGACTCTGGTCTAGGTCTAGGTCTGACTCTGGTCTCTGAGGTCTGGGTCTGGTCTCTGACTCTGGTCTAGGTCTGACTCTGGTCTAGGTCTGGTCTGGTCTAGCTGGTCTCTGTCTAACGTTTCTGGGGAAGGGTCCATCACCTGCTCGTCTTCAGAGACGTCTGCTGTTGCTTTGCCTGGAATGTTCCGTAGTTGGCATTAGACTTGTACGTATCCTTGGAGACAAGTAGAGGAGGGTATTAGAGCTGCTTTAACTGTGTGCATTAAAATTCCAGTCCATAACAAATGTAACTGACTAAATGTAATTGTTTTCATATGTTCAGACTTTTGAGCCTGAGGGAATGAAGATCTTCAGGATTCCAGCACCTTTATTCTTCGCCAACATCGACTTCTTCAGAAAGAAACTGGAGGAAGCTGTGAGTGTCACATGTTGCGAATGATAACAGTGCCCGTACACATACATCCTGAATTTCAGACTTTCGGAGGATCCTTCCCACGTTGCGCGATGACCGGAAGTCCAAAATTCAGGATGTATGTATTGTGATGTGGTTAAAGGTTTTTTTGTTTATTACTCGTTTTAGCTCGGGTTTAAACCTCTGCGAGTTCTGAGGAAGAGGAACAAAGCTCTGAAAGTGATTAAGAAGATGCTGAAGAAAGGAGAGCTGACGTGTACACCTGTGAGTCTTCAAAAAAAAACACATTTATAAATCATTATACAACACTCAAGGCGACCAAAGTGCTTCACATTAACACAAATAAAAACATCCAAAACATTAAACAGTTAAATAAAATAAATTGTGCAAAGTGTCACTGCATAACCGAGTGTTAAAGTCAGTCTAAGAGATAAACAGTGTTGGGAGTAACGTTTTATAAAAGTAACAAATCACTGTAATTCGTTGCTTTTTGCTGTAACGCAGTAATGTGGCGTTACAGGGGGAAAAATAGTCATATTTTACTCGGTACAAATCTGAGTAACACCCTGTCTGCAAAGCACTTCCAAGTTCTAGTCCAAGACCTGGTTTGGTCCTGGTTTAGACCTGGTTTAGACCTAGTTTAGACCTGGTTTAGTCCTGGTTTAGTCCTGGTTTAGTTTTAGTTGAGACCTGGTTTAGTCCTGGTTCACCTCTGGTTTAGACCTGGTTTAGTCCTGGTTTAGTTTAGTCCTAGTTTAGTCCTGGTTCAGTTCCTGGTTCAGTCCTGGTTCAGTCCTGGTTTAGTCCTTAGTTCAGACCTGGTTTAGTCCTGGTTTAGTCCTGGTTTAGTTTAGTCCTGTCCTGGTTTAGTCCTGGTTCAGTTCCTGGTTTTAGTCCTGGTTCAGTCCTGGTTTTAGTCCTGGTTTAGTCCTGGTTTAGTCCTGGTTTAGTCCTGGTTTAGTCCTGGTTTAGTCCTGGTTTAGTCCTGGTTTAGTCCTGGTTTAGTCCTGGTTTAGTCCTGGTTCAGTCCTCTGGTTCAGTCCTGGTTTAGTCCTGGTTAGTTCAGTCCTGGTTTAGTCCTGGTTCAGTCCTTAGTTCAGTCCTGGTTTAGTCCTGGGTTTTTAGTCCTTAGTTCAGTCCTGGTTCAGTCTGGGTTTTAGTCCTGGTTTAGTCCTGGTTTAGACCTGGTTTAGTCCTGGTTTAGTCCTGGTTTAGTCCTGGTTTAGTCCTGGTTCAGTTCCTGGTTCAGTCCTGGTTTAGTCCTGGTTTAGTCCTGGTTTTAGTCCTGGTTTCAGTCCTGGTTCAGTCCTGGGTTTAGTCCTGGTTTAGTCCTGGTTTAGTCCTTGGTTTCAGTCCTGGTTCAGTCCTGGTTTAGTCCTGGTTCAGTCCTGGTTCAGTCCTGGTTAGTCAGTCCTGGTTTAGTCCTGGTTTAGTCCTGGTTTAGTCCTGGTTCAGTCCTGGTTTAGTTCAGTCCTGGTTCAGTCCTGGTTTAGTCCTGGTTCAGTCCTGGTTTAGTCCTGGTTTAGTCCTGGTTTAGTCCATATATGGCACAGAAGTTCAGCAGTTATTTTGGTGAGTCACTTAAAGTAATACAATAGTAATATAATGTCTTACATTTTAAACACCGTAATATTCTAATGTAACTTATTACTTTAAAATGACAGAAACACGTCATAAAATAAATAACACATTAAAGTCACTTGCCCAACAGTGTAGATAAATATGTTTTGAGCCTGGATTAAAATTAAAGTCTAAAGTCTGTAAACAACATCTAACCACAACAAACTGTAACTTTACTTTACTGCACAAGGAAACAAGTTTTATGACAAAACCATGGCCAAGTTTTGCCACAAACAAGAACACGGACGACATAAACAACACAATAAATCTTCTTACTTTTACACAATCAGACCATAAACACGTGAGGTGAGATAAGTGAATCGTTAAACAGGTTCATATCAAATAACACTGTAAAAATCACAGGCTGAATCCACTGAGCGAGTGTCTCTAGTGACAGTTTCAAAATGTCAGAGTCAGGACTTGAACCAAGAGTCAACAGTTCAAGGTTTAAAGACATTTTCATTAAGAAGTTTAAAGGTACCAAGACCAAACTGGCAAGGCTCACTGCAGCAGTTATAGACATAAGGCGTCACAATATTCCGATGTGAGTCAATGAGAGAAAGAGTCAGAAGGAGCCGAAAGAGCTGCATGATCATTTCCTATTTGGAACATGGCGGCTGGTGTGTTAGCCCCTCTGCCCCACCGCTTGAACTGGCCCTATGAGGCAATCCTTAAAAGTTGTCATGGCTTTTTTTTTATTACTTTTTGGCAAATAATAACACTTCCTCCAGCTCCTCCGGTTGGACCTCAAGGCAGTCTTAGGCCAACCCAGAGACATAGTCCCTTTAATGTGTCCTGGGTCTTCCCCGGGGCCTCCTCCTGGTGGGACATGCCCAGAACACCTCCCGAGGGAGGCGCCCAGGAGGCATCAGAACAGATGCCCGAGCCTCAACTGCTCCTCTCCACATGGTTGAGCAGCAGCTCTACTCCGAGCTCCTCACCCTATCTCTAAGAGAGCGCCCAGACTCCCTGCGGAGGAAACTCATTTTGGTCGCTTGTATTCGTGATCTCTTCCTTTCAGTCATTACCCAGAGCTCATGACCAGAGGTGAGGGGAGGAACGTAGACTGACAGTAAGTCAAAGGTTTTGCCTTTTGGCTCAGCTCCTCTTCACCACAATGGTCCAATACAACGACCACATCACTGTCGACGCTGCAAGTACCTATGAAGTATTTATATTTATATTTAAATAATTAAATCATGTATTTACATTTGCCGCCAAATTTTCGTAACCTGACAAACTCGAGATTAAACAGTGACAGTGAATGCATGTGCAGAGATGTACAGAGTTCTGTAGTGCAGTTAAAGACAGCAGGACTAGTTAAGGACTAGTTAAGGACATTAATAAGGAGCACTAGTAATGATAAACAAATATGTTGTGCGTAGGAAATATGAGGTGATATAGAACTGTAGAAAGCTGTGCCAGGCGAGTCATTTCTACTGCACAGTGAGGCCTGCTGGTGTCATTCTGGTCTGGGTCATACAATTTTGTTATACGGCCCCCCCCCCCCCCACGCGTTCATTCTGGAAATATTTTTGGTCGGAGGCAGAAACACGGTAGCATCAAAACACAGTGCGTAAGCAACTCGTGTATTTCTCCCCGATAATGGTAAAATTCCTGCTGTGCATTATCGGATGCACAAATAGAAGCACGGAAGAAGGAAAATGTCTTTTTCTTATTCTGAGTGAAAAGAACCGCTAACGGTGAATTAAACGACTTTCAAACATCCGCAGAGGAAACGTAGAAGATCCTAACAAACCGTGGACTCCAACAAGTTCAACAACACATCGAGACTCTTGGAGGTTTTCATCTTTTCTGCTGTGAATGGCCCAGGAGTTTCCACCAAGTCATTGTGGATATCGCCCAAGTGAATATTTGTCCAGGTAGTTGGCGATTCTGACCAGAAATTTGGTTTGGTCCACCTTTTGTCGGGGTTGAAAAGGGTGATTTGGCTCCATCGATGCTTATGACCAATTTCTGGTCAAATGGTCTTGGGTCCTCTGCCGTTAGAGTGGATAAATAACCGGGATCAATACCCTTTACGTGCTTTCTCGCTCCGTCCGTCATGTTGAATTAGTGTTTCTTGCCGCCGACCAAAATAATTCCCAGCATGCAACACGCGCTTTTGTCAACAATGAAACTCGCCTATAGTCTACATCTCCAAAGCTCAAAACACTCTGTTCCATTTTGTAACGTAGTGGTAGTTTTCAAGTCAACAGTTCCTTTATCTTTAGTTCAGTAGAGATCGGCAGTTCCAGGGTTGAAAAAATAATCCAGATGATTCTAGTGAAATTGTACGCAGTGTAAAAACACAGTGGAGCACTTCCTGCATCAGCACGATATCACAAGGTGGAACAAAACACAACTCCAGGTCTGTTTTTGACAAGTAAACAACATGATAACATACTGTAGATCAGAAAATAGCGTAACATTGTAGTGCAGAATAAAGTGTTCGCTAAAGGGAGCCTTATGCATTGAAGTCTATGGTAAATTTTCTCTCCTCCGCTCTCCTCTCCACAGAAGGGTTACCTGAACATGTGTCCTGAGCCGTACACAGAGGTGGACGGCGAGGACA